AAAAAAAAAAAATATTCTGGGCTGAATTAGCATTTTTAAACTGTATGAAATACCATTTAGAGATAAAAGTTTGATTGGCATTTACTGTCCTCACTTGCATGAAATTTTTCCCAATATTCATATTTGATGCAAAGTTTCATATAAGATATAACATAACACAGGCCATCTTATTTATATTTCTGTACTGTTATTACTAGCAGTTCCCTTGGATGCTATAGATTAGAATGCTGTGTGAAAATGTCTGGTTTCACATTCCAGATGGGGATATTATCATGTGGAATCACAGCAAAATATACTGGTCTAGGAGTCAAATTGTATTTTCATGGCTTTAAATTATCATGTCACATTCAACACATTGTTTATTTCCTTAGACCTCAGTTTACTAAGCTACAATGTAAGAATTAGACAATGCCCTAGATTTCTTTAAAATATTATATTTGATCTTTCGAGGATCTTAATAAAAGGCAATAAGTACACCTATGTGAAGAATGTGAGCGATACCTTAGGACATTATTTAAAATAGTTTTAAAATTGATGTCTACCTTCTCATTGAGCAGCAATACAGAAAAGAGATATAGATCTGTGTTAGTCCTGCTGTTTTTGCCATTTTTAAACTACTAAGCCTCTGAAACATTATGGCCAACTAGCAACTATACCAACATTTGAACTTAGAACTTTACAGCGTTGCGGATCAGGTCTGGAAGTAAATATTGTTTGATCAAAGTACAGCATGGTGTTTCAGTTGCCTTTGGGAACTTATGAACATAAATGCCCATATAATGTTACTTGAAAGACATTTAAAAAATATTCTTTAGAACCATTTTTTTTTGTATGCAGCAAAATTGAGCAGAAACTACAGAGAGTCCCTACATGCTCTTTGTCTCCACACGTGCACAATTTCCTATACTGTCAACATTTCACACCAAAATGACCATTTCTTTTTAGTGCTGAAGAGCATTCAATTGTATGGATATGCCACAGTTTGTTTAACCATTTACCTACTGGAGGACAACTCAGTTCCTTCCAAGCTTTGGTAATTGCTAACACTAATGTGTATATGAAAACTTGTTGGTTGTAAGTTTTCAACTCATTTGGGAGAATACCACAGAGAAAAATTACTGAATCCTATGCAAGAGTATGTTTAATTTTGTATAAAATTGTCAGTGTTTCTGTCAAGTTCACAATACCATTTTATCTTCCCACCAGCAGTGAATGAGTTCCTATTGCACTGCATCCTCCCTGAATGTTTTTCGGTGTTTTTTATTTTTCCCATTTCAATTATTGTGTAGTAATGTCTCATTGTTTTAGTGTACTATTCCTTAGTTGCATATGATGTTGAACATTTTAACATGTTTATTTTCAATAAGATATCTGTTCAGATTTTCTGTATATTTTTACATTGGATTGCTTATTTTGTTATTGTTGGATATTAAGATTTCTTTGTATATTTAGACATCTTTTATGATACTCTTTTTCAGTTATTATGTCAGCCTATAGATTGTCTTTTCATTCTCTTAAGTATATTTTTCACAGAGAGGAACTTTTTAATTAAAATTAAATTCATTTTATTATTTGGCTTTCTATCTCAAAGAGTTATACCATACCCAAGATCATCTAGGTGTTTTTCCTATTTTTCACATAGCTCTGAAATAGATACCTTTGGGTTAATTTTATGAAAGACATAAGGTCTGTGTCTAGATTCAGTATTTTTTAATGTGAATATCTAGTTCGTTTAGCTCCATTTGTTGAAAGGACTCTTCTTTCCATTGTATCACCTTTACTTCTTTTACAAAGATCATTTGATTATATCTAGTGTATGGGTCTATTCTGGCTTCTCTATTCTGCTTCACTAAATCATCTACTTTTTACAAATATACATTGTCTGATTTTTTTTTAGATATAAAGTACATCTTTAAGTAGGATGTTGTCAGCCCTCTGACTTTATTCTTGAACTTATGTTGGCTATTCTTGGTTGTTTACTTCACCATATAAATTTTAGGATCAATTTGCTAGTGGTCACAAAATAAGCAAGGATTTTGGTTTTAATTGCATTGAATCTATAGATCAGATGAGGAAGAATTGATATCTTGATAACATTGAATATTTCTATCCACAAACAATATTTCTCCATTTATTCAGTTATTTGACATCTTTCCCCAGAACTTTATAGTTTTCTTCATCTAGATTTTGTACATATTTTATTAGATTTTTTTCCTACATATTTCTGTCGAGGGGAATAATAAAAACAGCCTTGAGTTTTACATTTTAAGCCTCCTATTTCTTATCAGTTTATAAGACAAATGAATGACTTTGGTATATTATCCTTATATTCTGCAGCCTTGCTACAATTGCTTGTTCGTTTCAGGAGGATATTTGCTGAGGTTTTCAGATTTTTCTTCATAGATAATGATATCTTCTGGAAACAAAGACATATTTTATCCCTGTCATTATGTCTATGTTTTATTTCATTATCTTATTGTAATAGCTTAGAGCTCCAGTACATTGTTGAAAAGGAGGGAAGGAGAGGACAATTTTGCCTTGTTTCTGTCCTTAGTATGAAGGATCTAGTTTCTCGCTATTAAGTATGATGTTAATGTGAATTGGAGTTGTTCTTTATGAAATTAAGGAAGTTTCCTTTTCTTTCTAAATTGTTGAGAGTACTTTTTTTATCATGAATACATTTTGGATTTTGACATATGCTTTTTTTTGCATCTCTGGATATGGTCATATGATTTTTTTAGCCTTTGTGATGGATTTGAATGATTGATTATTGGATATTGCAACAAGACACACTATTATTAATGAATAAACAAGTCTTCCAATGACTAGAAGTTAAATACACCTACATTGGATTGCACTTTTAACATTATTAAATGACTAATTATTTCAATAATAATGCACATCAGTAGTAGAATTTTATAACCTTGCAAAAATATTGTTGAAGGTAGTTGTAGAAATTTCAACATAAGAAATAACATCTCTTTGTTCTAAATATTCATATAATTTCTATATTCAGAAAATTTTTATTAGGGAAGGTATAGCATTATTGAAGAAATTTCATTGTTTTTAGTAGCCTTCATGAAATCTTTCTTATGAAAGCATTTGTCTGACTTGTAAGTTATTTCTTTTTTCACAATATTTATAATATTTAAAACCTGCAGCAGTTGGAAGTGAAACTTTTACATATTATGCATAATAGCCAAGTTTATAATATATAAATATAATATTTGTTTTTAATAAATTGGGACTTTTTAAATATCATTTGTTTCAACTCTACTTTTATGCTCATCCCTAATAATGAAAGGCATACATTTCATGATGATCAGAAGAACAGTTTTCCATGTGAAAAGGACAGCTATCAACATCATATTTTCAACAAAGTAAAAACAGACCTCTCAAAGTTTGATTTGCCACACAACTCTACATATTATAGAGATAACATAAAAGGTAACTTTTTCATATTGTTTATTATTATTAACAATGGATGTTAATAGTACATTAAAACTAATAGATTTGGGGCCGGGGATTTAGCTCAGTGGTTCCTCAGCCTGCCTTGCAAACGGGAGGATCCGAGTTCGATCCCTGGTACCAAAAACCAAAAACCAAAAAACTAATAGATTTGAGAGTTTATAAATTGTACATATTTTTATTTTAAAACTGTACAATTTAATAGTTGGAAGAAAATTCATTGAAAATGTTTAATTTAATGTCTTTTTAGTCAGTGGAAAACAATGTTTATATTCATTAGAAAAAGAAGCCAAATAATGGGGGTATAGCTTTAGTGTAGACCCTAGATTCAAACCTGCCAACTACTGCAAAAAAAAAAAAAATATTCTGGGCTGAATTAGCATTTTTAAACTGTATGAAATACCATTTAGAGATAAAAGTTTGATTGGCATTTACTGTCCTCACTTGCATGAAATTTTTCCCAATATTCATATTTGATGCAAAGTTTCATATAAGATATAACATAACACAGGCCATCTTATTTATATTTCTGTACTGTTATTACTAGCAGTTCCCTTGGATGCTATAGATTAGAATGCTGTGTGAAAATGTCTGGTTTCACATTCCAGATGGGGATATTATCATGTGGAATCACAGCAAAATATACTGGTCTAGGAGTCAAATTGTATTTTCATGGCTTTAAATTATCATGTCACATTCAACACATTGTTTATTTCCTTAGACCTCAGTTTACTAAGCTACAATGTAAGAATTAGACAATGCCCTAGATTTCTTTAAAATATTATATTTGATCTTTCGAGGATCTTAATAAAAGGCAATAAGTACACCTATGTGAAGAATGTGAGCGATACCTTAGGACATTATTTAAAATAGTTTTAAAATTGATGTCTACCTTCTCATTGAGCAGCAATACAGAAAAGAGATATAGATCTGTGTTAGTCCTGCTGTTTTTGCCATTTTTAAACTACTAAGCCTCTGAAACATTATGGCCAACTAGCAACTATACCAACATTTGAACTTAGAACTTTACAGCGTTGCGGATCAGGTCTGGAAGTAAATATTGTTTGATCAAAGTACAGCATGGTGTTTCAGTTGCCTTTGGGAACTTATGAACATAAATGCCCATATAATGTTACTTGAAAGACATTTAAAAAATATTCTTTA